GGGACTCGGACTTGGGACTTGGGGGTTGGGGTCGTTTCGACCTTGGTTCAGTCCACACCCCCTCATCCTCCCCCTTCTGTGGTTCGTTCTGGTCCCCCCCCCCTCCGAAACGTCTGAGGGTTTCGGAGTCGGGACAGGGTTTAGATGGTCTTGAGTCTCGGGTGGTCTCGGGGGATGCCCCTTCCGGTGTGGCGACGGAAGCCTTCAAGTCCGATCTCCCAGCCGAAGCCTCTAGATCTGACCAGTGGGCCCCCTTCTGTTCGGCTTGCTCGGCCGCACCGGCATTTTCTGTAGGGGCCGGTGCTCTGTGGGAGTTTGCGGCGGTGTGGTTTGCACTTCGGATGATTCAGGTCGCCCGTAGATCAATGACCTGGCTCCATTTGGACTGCTCCCCGGTGGTTCATTGTCTGAACCGAGGGGGTTCGATGAGGTCCCTGGCTTTTTTGCGCTGGTTGCTTTGGGTGACTTGTCTGTTGAGTTCTTAGGGTTTGGCTTTCCTGGCAGTTCACATGCGGGATGTGTCCAACGTCTTGGCCGATGACCTGTCCCGTTTCGTTCCCCTCTCCACAGAATGGACGGTCGGCGCCAGCTCCTTGCGTGGGCTCTGCTGGACGTTTGGGCGCCCTGAGGTGGACCTCTTCGCGTCAGCGTGGTCGCGGCGCCTTCTCCAGTATGTGGCGTCCTTCCCCAATTGCGAGGTCGTCGGGGTGGATGCCTTTCGGCAGGACTGGTTGAGGTGGGGGATCCTGTACCCCTTTTTCCCGGTTCAGCTCTTGCTCCAGGTCCTGACTTGCTTGGAGACCTCCCAGGGAAGAGTTGTCCTCTTGGCTCCGTGGTGGCCGGCCCACCTGTGGTTCCAGGCGCTGCTTGCTCAGGGGCCGAACGCGGAGGTTTTCTTGCGGCACCACCTTTTCCAGCAGATTGGACCGGAACGTCACGTAGCTGGTTTGATCTTCTCCTCAAGTGTTCGCATATGGTGTTTTTGACTCGAGTTTATCATCATCTCTGTGGTGATCAGGTGGCTTCCTTGTTAGTGTCCCACCTGCGGGTTTCGTCTCGGCGGCAGTACAAAGTTTCCTGGTAGTCCTTCCGTTTCTTCCTGCATCTTCGTCATTGTACTTCGCTTTTCGTTAGGGTGGTGGTGTCCTTTCTCTCTTGGTTGTTCCAGGACCGTCACCTTATGCCTAACACTGTCGCCTCGTATCGTGCGGCACTGGCAGAGCCGCTTCAACTTGCTTTCGGTATTGATGTTACTTCTGCACTATTTCGCAAGCTGTCTCGGGCGTTGTTTCACCTCCGGCCTGCTCATTTGACTCCTGAGCCGTCCTGGTCATTGGACAGTGTTCTCTTCTCTTTCTTCTCCTCGGTTTGTTGTGGCCCCTTGATTCAGGATTGTTTCTCCAAGGCTCTTTTTCTGTTGGCATTGGCCTCTGGGGGGTCGGGTTGGTGAGCTTCATGCTCTCCTCCAGTGCAGGGATTTCTGCTCTTTTGGTCTTCGTGATGGTTTTGTTCGTTTGCAGCCGTCTTCTTTTCTGGCGAAGAATGAGACTGCTGCTTTCCGGAGGGGTCCCTGGGTTGTGGATGCTTGGTCGGTTAGGCCGGGGGTGCATCATGTTTTGTGTCCAGTTGCAGCTCTTCGCCGTTAATTACGTGCCCGGGGACGCGCTTTGGATTGATCCGGTTTTCCTTCTTCCTTGTTCGTGGGTGCAGGTCTCCCAGGTTGTCCGCAGAGTTATTAAGTCTAGCCAGCCTGTGGTCCATCCCCGTGCCCATGACGTTCGTAAGTTCGCTGCTCTTGCTGCTGTCTTTGGCACCATGTCGTGGGCTGACATTCAGGTGTGGGGCTTTTGGCGGTCAAACAGGGTCCTGGCGGCTCGTTACCTTGTGAACGTCCCTGGGTCTAGTTGGGCCTGTGTCGCTTTGGGTTGGTGGTTGCAGCCAATTGTCTCGACTTCGAGTTGAGGAGTGAGCAGCGACCGCCTCCCGGGTGAGTCCCAAAGTTTTTCTCTGTGGGAAGTTAGCTCTGGGGAGCCGAAGGGGCTCCCCCCCCCCCCCCCAGAAAACCAGCGTTGAATGTAATGAAACTCCATTTTCTGGGTGAGACCCGGAGGCTCCTGGCATTCCTCCCTCCCTCCGGTCGACGTTTTTTCGCGTGTTTTTGACAGCCAGCCTAAGAACTAAGGGTGGATAGCCGGCGTGAGGGGTCTCGGGCTCCCCCTTCCCCCTCCCGGGGAGGGGGGAGCTGCGCAGACAGCGGCACGGCAATGTGTGACGTCATGATCGTTTGCTCGTTTCTTTTAGGAGAGTTCTATCCACTTGTTCGGCTTTTGGTAGCAAATTTTCACCAGAACAGGGGTTTGTTTTGGGATGCTTACCTTTCTGGATGCCTGACCCAGTCGATGGCAGACATAGAATACTTCCAACCACACGGAGGTTTCTATAGGCCATTGCTCCCCTTGCCTCTTCCGAAGGGGCCATGTTCTGGCTCGTGATCCCCGGTAGGCCCATAAGAACTCCATACACATGACTGATCCCAAAGTCTGACATTAGCATATCAGCTTAGTAAGCTCCGGGAGCCTCCAGGTCTAACCCAGAAAATGGCATTTCATTACATTCAATGCTGCCACCAGCACAACTAGGTGTGTACTTGGCCTTACAAGCAACCTGTTGTGTGGGGTTCTGTGTACTACATCTTGGAATATCTAATTTTTTCTGGTATCTTGGGGCCTTTTTTTTTTTTGTTTTTTTTCCAAGGGAGACTGGTACAACTTTTTGATTCTTTTATTTGGCTTGTGTCTTGTTCCTTGGACTTTCCCTGGTTGCCGAGAGTCATTGGTACTTATCTTTGGTGTTTGATGGTCCATATCTTGGCATTTCTTAACAACTGGCCAGTTTGGGCTCCCAGCTAGTTTGCATGTCTGCAAGCCAAGGGCCTGGTTCTTTTCCTGTTGGCTAGTTACAGGTTCCTGGTCATCTGGTGGGAGTACTGGTTGGTTCCGTTGCAAGTTTGACTCTGGTTGAGTCTTGTTTTGGGCTCTCGGTTGGCCTGTCTGTTCTTACTGCAGATGGTTCTGCTCCACCTGGTTTCATGGATCTTATCTGTTGTTGGTAGGTACCTGGATTCGAAATGAATGCTAGGGTGGTTGTGTGGGTGCTTGGACTTTACCTGCATGATTTGCCATTTGGCAGGGGTTTGCCTCTGGGCTCTTTTCCAGCTTCTTGAGTTGTCTTTGGGGAAAGCCCCCTGTGGCTCGCTGAAGCTAACACCTCCGATGTGCGTTATATATTAGGTGCCATCAGTTGCAGAGTTCTCTGGCCCACCGGGGACCAGAATCAGAACCTGATCCCCTCACAGAGGTGTAGGGAGTGGTGGCAATTACATATTTATTTATTCATTTATGCCACCACCAAGGGAAGCACCCAAAAAGTCAGCAAAACAAAACAAACCACATCTGGCTGCATCAAATACCTACAGACTCAAAAAAGGCCATGGAACTCCTCAAACTATGTAAACAATAGCTGAAAGTTATAACCAAATGCCCACTTGCTTGCCTCACCCTTCCCCCTTGTTTGGAGGGGGAGGGGGGGGGGGCCAGGCCATGGCTCATAGGCTGCTCCACCAGCCTGGTGGAGCTCTTCACCACCACCAGCAGCCTTTTTTCCATAAAATTTACACCTGCGGGTCATTGGTTCTGCCTCGGTGGATGAAGTGTTTGTTGACCCTGTTTCCCTGGTCACCTATTGCAAGGCTCGTATTTCCCATGTCATCTGCAGTGTCATCAGGTCTAGCCAGCCTGCAGTCAACCCTTAAGCCCATGATGTTTGCAACTATGCTGTGTTGGCCGCAGTCTTCTCCAACATGTCCTGGACTGATATTTGGGCTTGGGGGTTTTGGCATTCCGACAGAGTTCTGGTTACCCAGTATTTGTTTAATATTCCTGGTCTCAGTCATGTGTTGCCTTGGGCGCTCTCTCCTGGCCTGGATTCTTTTCTTTATCCTAGTTCATGCTGCCTCTCCTCCCTGGTAAGTTCTGTTTTTGTTGTGTAGTTAGTTACTTTCATGGAACCACTGGGGGCTTCTGCCAGAAACCCAGCATTGTATTTACATAATGATAAAATCTCTTTCTGGATAAGCCCTGGTGACTCTGACTCACTCCTTGCCAGGGTAGTCATTTTGTTGGTAGGCTTTTCATCAGATGCAGAACTGATCAAGGAAGATGGCTGCATGCAGAAGCTGGGCCACCTGATGGTGGCATTCGGTACTACAACGAGTTTCGCACTAATTTTGAGTATTTCTCGTTCTGTGTAAATAATTTTCAGAACTGTTTGGCAGTTTTGAAGGTTTGGTCTTTGTTAACCTTCCAATTGTTTATAAAGCTTCACTGACTTTCTGGATGCATTCCTGGTGTGGTGGTGAATTGTCACTCGCTCTACAACTCTGTGAGAGGGGGCCAAGTTTTGGTAGTGGTTCCTGTAGCAAATAGAACTCCCATGTCTGACGTGACCCATTTGCATGGAGCAATCTCGGTAAAATAGTTTTGTCGAGTCGCCATGGCTCATCCAGAAAGAGGCGTTTAACAATTAATGTTGGATTTTTTTTTATTATAAACATTTTGGAGATTAATAAACCTTGACTGCATTGAAGTAGGTTGTACAGAATAATGTCACATTGAGTTGGTATCAAATTCTAATGGAATTTACAGAATAATACCCAATTTCAGTAAGAAAATAGAAGAGTGAGGAAATGGTAATAAGTTTGTATATACCTGTTGTATACATTTGTTTATTCTTTGAAGAAGCATTGCACTTTTCAGACAAAAATATTTGAATAGCATTAATATTGTTTAGAAAGCTTATTGCACATGTTATACTGTACTTTATTTGTATACATTATTACCGTAATTAAGTGTGACTAGTAAGGAGATGTGTAGAAGATAACTAAAATAATTATGTTTCCAATAGCCTAATTCTTAAATTGTAACATGTCATTGGTGTTGCAGGTACTACCTAAACGGAGTGGATGCTTTACGGCTCAAGCTTTGGCTCAGATAAAACACTGGTCAGTAGATATTTGTACTTTTAATTGTTTCACTAGTACTTTTTATTCATTATTTTACAAGAACTGATTTAAAAAATATAAAAAGTAACAAATGAAAGGACATTGTAAAACTAGATATGATTAATAGCATTGAATTCCGTTGTTAAAGGAGGGGAGGCAAACAATTAATTACGGCTTTCACAATAAAAGGCCGAATGTTACTGTATTGGCATTTGTAAAATGCAATTGTTTAATGCAAGATAGGGCATATTGTACTTTGGTGAGTACAATAAAAAAACTGAACAAATTTGAAAAACGGACAAATGCCATAAATGTGCGTTCAGTGTTTGTCAGGTAGGCTGCTCCATTATTAATAAATACATGAAAAATACAAAACAAATTGAATACATTTGAAACAAAGAAAGATTGTCATAATGGAGCAGCCTACCTGACAAACTCCGAATGAACCTTTATGGTATTTGTCCGTTTTTCAAATATGTTCATTTTTTTTTTTAAGAAACATGGAACAGCCTACCTGACAAACACCAAACGAACTTTTCTGGGGGGAGCCCCGTCGGCTCCCCGGAGCTATCCCAGGCTGATATGCTAATGTCAGACTTTGGCATCAGTCATGTGTATGGAGTTCTTAGGCCTACTGGGGACCACGGCCAGAACCGGGCCCCCTCAGAGAGGCAAGGGGAGCAATGGCCTATAGAAGCCCCCGTGTAGTTGGAAGCATTCTATGTCTGCCATCGACCGGAACAGGCACCCAGAAAGGTAAGCGCCCCAAAACAAACCCCTATTCTGGTTAAAATTGCTACCTAATACCGAACTAGTGGATAGAACTCCCCAACCGAAAACAAGCAAATTAGTGTGACGTCACACACTGCCGCGCCGCTGTCTGCGCAGCTCCCCCCTCCCCGGGAGGGGGAAGGGGGAGCCCCAGACCCCCCGCGCCGGCTACCCACACCTCAGTTCTTGAGGCTGATGCTATAGGCGATGGTCGTGTGCTCTGGCTCCGGTGTCGCTACTGCACTGTGCTTTGAGTGTGGTGTTAGTTTTGTGGGTGCGAGAGCCAGGAGTTATCTTCAGTACTCGGGCTGCATGCGCCTAGGGCTGCCTTCCCTAGGTGCCCTGTAAGTACTGCCCTTGGGGCTTGGGGCCACCTTCCACAGGCTCCTCGGGGTCTGCCTCTGCTGGTCCGTTTTACCTTTCGGTTTTTCGGCCGCCTGTTGGGCTCTTGGGTGTTCTGTTCTCCCTTGTTACCGGCAGGTAAGAGGCAGTTTGCACTGGTAGGGGCGCAGGGTGCTGCTCAGCTTGTAATTCCCGACATCGCGGCCGGCTCTGTTCCTTGGGGTTCGCTGTCCTCTTGCGGGGTTTTGTTTTTCTTTTTGTTTTTGCCTGGTGGGGGGTTCTGTCATTTTATTCAGTTTGTTTTTGCCCTTCCACTGTTCTCCTCGGTGGCGCCCCCTGCTTGGTCCCCGTGAGTGTACACGTCCCTGGGGTTCAGCTTTAGAAGTTTGCTTGGTAGTTTTGGGCGCCGGTTTGCAGCACCCTGCCTGGGACTACCTGAGCGCGAGTCCTCTTAAAGTAAACGCTCAGGACCCTGGGAATCCCCTAGGGGGCGCGTGGGTCTGATGGATGTGACCCCGGAGTCCCCACTCGCTGTGTGCGAGTGAGGGTTGCTCGGTCCCCTTGTCTCAGGGTGACCCTCATTGTTTTTGCCTCTGCCACGCTGCCTGTTGGGTCGGTGATACTTTCGACCCTGAGTCCTGTGAGTGTTGCTGCTTGCTTGTGACTCAATTTACCCAATCCTCTGATGATTCTATTCGGGTACAGGCGGCACGTGCGTTGCAGTCTAGGTTTCGTCTGTTGCAACGCGCTCGGTTGGTTGCTTCCCCGGATGCCCCGGGGCTGCCCCGCTTTGCTTTTCGAGACCCGGACTTGGGGGTGGGGGTCGCTTCGATCCTGGTTCAGTCCGCACCTCCTCGTCCTTCCCCTTCTGTTCGTTCTGGTCCCCCGCCCCTGCTTCCGGCCCCGAAGCGTCTGAGGGTTTCGGGGTCGGAGCAGGGGTTACTTGATCTCGAGACTCGGGCAGCTTCGGGGGTTGCCCCTTCCGGGGGGGCGGCAGAGGCATTCGAGTCTTGTCTCCCGGCCGAAGCTTCAGGGTCTGACCAGTGGGCCCCCCTTCCTCCAGCTTTTCCGGCTGCTCCGTCCTTGTCTTGTGGGGTCGGGGCTTGGGGAGAGGACTCGGCCTCGGGTCCTGTGGTGACGGACCTCGAGGCTGGGGAGGGGCTGACTTGGGGGCCTTGGGCCCCGCTGGACCCCGCCTGGGTTTTTCTTCCCACTGAGCGGGGCTTATTGTTACAAGGAGTGGGGTTTTCTTTCCCCCCTCTGCGTACGAGTTGGATTTGGTGTCGGCCCCTCCCCGGGTACGGTTCCGTGTTCCCCCGGGTACGTCGGTTCCGTCCTTCCGGAGGTTTTCGGCTTATCGCATCCAACCTGGTGTGGTGCGAGCGGCCTTTGCAGCTTACCTCCTGCGTGACCCGGATTATGCCTCGGAAATGGATCCGTCCACGTTCAGGTTTGGGACTTCGTTCCCTTTCTGGCTCCGTTACGAGGTTCCGGAGTCATCCTGGCTAGCAGACTGCCCCTTGTTTGGTCTGGATTCCTGGCATTCCTTCTGTCGTTCCCGCACGCTGGAGTGGCGGGAAGCTTCCACGGTGCTTCAGGTTTTCCTGGGGGGTGAACTTGAGTACCTGAATGAGTGCTTGTTTGCCCCTGCCCTTCCCCGCGATGTGGGCGTTATTCAGCTCCATGTGCAGGTTCCCTCCCTTTCGGCGGCGCTCGTGGCGGAGGACTTGCGCGCTCGGGGCCTTTTGTGTTCGGCCTTGCGGTTCTTTTCCCTCCTGGAGCTGTCTTCGGATTGGCTCGTGGAGGATGTGGGGACGCTTGGGTCCGTCCCGGGGTCCGGCACCTTGTCCTCGGCTGCACGTTCGTCGGCTGCCTTGTTGAAGCTGTTCACGCCGATTTTGCGGGATGCGGTTTCCCTGTTCTATGCTTCCCGTCTCGCGTGTCGGCAGGCGGTGCTGGGTTCCTCCGTGGAATCTGCTTGGGCTCTGGCTCTTAGGCGGCTTGTCGTCCGATGTCGGACTTGTTGGTTTTCCGGGGGTCCCGGGGTGGGTCTTCCCGGAAAGGTCGTGCCAGGGCTCGGGGTTCCTCTCGTCGTGGTAGGCCTCTGGTGTCAGGTTTGGGGTTGGCTCCTCCTGCGGACCCTCCCTCGTCTGGTCGGCGCGGTGTTCGCGCTGTGCGGGGTTCTGGGTCTCGTAAGGGTCGCCGGCCCTTTCGCGGTTTGCCCCTTTGACGGGGCGATGGGGGGGCGGCTTGCGCTGTTCGCCCGCGCCTGGTCCCACGATTCGTGGGCCTTTCGGGTCGTGTCTCGCGGCCTGCGGTGGCGTTGGGTGGCCCCTCCCCCCTTTGGGGGGTCGGGGCTGGCGGGGCAGGCTTCTACCCCTGCGCTCTGTCGAGTCGTCTTGGAGTGGGTACGCTTGGGCGTCGTCGAAACGACGTCGTCCCTCAGATGGGTTTCCCGTTTGTTTCCGGTTCCGAAACGGGACTGCGCGGACCTGCGGTTCATTCTGGACTTGTCCCGTCTGAACCCCTGGGTTCATTGCCCCTCCTTTCGGATGACTACGCTGTCTCAGGTTCGGCTCCTCTTGGAGCCGGGTGCTTGGATGGTGTCCCTGGACCTCCGGGACGCTTATTGGCATGTCCCGATTCATCCGCGGTTCAGGGACTGGCTCGGTTTTGTAGTGGGGCGTCTGAGTTACCGCTTTCGTTGTCTCCCGTTCGGGTTGAACCTGGCACCTCGCGTGTTCACACGCCTTACACGGGTTGTGGTGGCTCGTTTGCGTCTCCTAGGTGTTCGGGTGTTGGCCTACCTCGACGACTGGCTGGTTTGGGCTCCCAGCCAGTCAGCTTGCTTGCTAGCCAGGGATTTGGTTCTTTCCCAGCTCGCCGGGTTCGGGTTCTTGGTGAACTGGAGGAAGTCCCATCTGGTTCCCTCTCAGGTTCGGACTTGGCTGGGTCTCGTGTGGGACTCTCGGACCGCCTCCTTGTCTCTCCCTCCGGAGTCTCTCCTGCGGCTGCGGTCCCGCCTTCGTCTGTTTCTGGAGGGCCCTCGGGTCACCCGGCGGTTGCTCGAGGGGCTGTGCGGGAGCCTGAACTTCGCGATGGTGGTCTACCCGCCGGGTCGGGTTTGGCTTCGACGGCTGTTCTGGTTCCTTCGGGGTTCCCCCTTCCGCCTCTCTCGCGATCGCAGAGTTCGACCCCCGGGGGACTTGCGTCGGTTGCTGCGTCACCGGCTTCCTCTTCGGGTTTTTCGGGGTTCAGTGCCTTGGCTCCTACCCGAGCCCTCGCTCGATGTGTACACGGATGCGTCGTCTCTCGGCTGGGGTTTTGTGACCAGTGCTCACCAGGCCGGCCAGGGGCGTTGGGATCCGTCCTTCCGTCGAGCTCACAGTACGGTGCGGGAGTTCGCGGCAGTGTGGTTTGCTCTGGGGAGGATTCGGGTGGCCCGCGGATCGACGATTCGGCTCCATTCGGACTGCTCTCCGGTGGTTCATTGCCTGAACCGCGGGGGTTCGATGCGGTCCTTGTCTCTTTGGGGTTGGTCGCTTCGGGTGACTCGTCTGCTGAGTTCTCGGGGTTTGGCTCTCCTGGCGGTTCACGTACGGGGCGTGTCCAACGTCTTGGCCGACGCCCTATCTCGCTTCGTTCCCCTCTCCACGGAGTGGACGGTCGACGACGAGTCCTTCCGTTGGCTTTGCCAGACGTTCGGGCGCCCGAGGTGGACCTCTTCGCGTCGGCGTGGTCGCGGCGTCTTCCCGTTTATGCGGCGCCCTTCCCCGATTGCGAGGCCGTCGGGGTCGATGCCTTTCGGCTCGACTGGTCGAGGTGGGGGTTCCTGTACCTCTTTCCCCCAGTTCGGCTGTTGCTCCAGGTCCTGACTCGCTTAGAGA